CTCCTGGCTGCCAGCTAGGATAGTGGACAGGAAGCGATGTGAGCTCTGCAAAGCAGTCCTAGGGCAGCACATCCCAGCCGCGGTGAAAGTCCCCAGGAGGAACCAGCACTTCTGGAGAAGGAAGGAGAGGACACAGGTTTAAAGGTAATGAGGAGGATTCTTCATGGTGTGTTACGGGTGAAGTAAACCAGACAGCAGTAAAGTGAGGGAAGACAATGAGAAAGAATGAAAGGGGAAAAGGTTTTGAAGTAGGGGAAGAGGGTGTGCAGGGGCGCCAGGGAAGGTGGTGCTTGGTCTTGGAGCTGATGTTACAGTATGGAGAAAAACTAGTGTGAAGAAGATACATGGCTGCGCTTTTTTTTCTCCCGTGCTGCTGCTCCCGCACCGTGTAAGGCAGAGCCTGTGTGCGTACGTGGTGGCAAGGGAGGACTGCTGCCTCCCTGCACCCCTCTTCTCCAGGTGCATCTGCAGGGTATCGCATGTCTGCCCCATGTTTCGGACATGGCAGAGGTGTCTGTAACTGCTCGTGATGGCTAAATACAAAATAATGCAATCTGACCGTTTAAACATCTCAAAACACAAGGAGTGGAACCTGTCAGTCTACAGCGTAGTTAAATATTATATTCTGGTTTTTAAAAGCGGCTTTTCCACATAAAATAGGCAACACAGCCCTGGAAATGGCTTTGTCACACCTTCATAAAGATAGAACTCTTTTCTTACAATTATTGTTACAGCAAACTCTGATTCCCGGAGAGCCTGTTGGGAACTCTTACAAGGCACTAGCAGATAGGAACAAGGGAAGACCTTTCCCTGAGCCGTGCCTTCCTTGCCATCCCTGGCTGTGCAGAGCCCAGCGCTGCGCTGCTGGTACGGGAAGGGAGGAGCGAGCCCTCTGGGCCAGATCCAGGAAAGCTGGCTGCAGCCTCAGTGCTGCCGCCCTGTTAGTGCCCCTCCTGACCCTGGGGCACATCCGAGGCACAGGGCTGCCATGCAAGTGTGAGCTGGTTTGAAACTGAGGGGAAGATGGCCCACTTTGGAATGTTTTGGCCTTTTACAGGCCATGGTGAACTCTGCGGGGGGGTTTGATCTCTCGCACTGTCTGGTTTCTGTGCCGTCGTAGGAAACAGGTTCCTGGTTCTCAAGCTGGGAAAGAACTGCACGCTGCAGAGATTTGGGAACCATTTAGGCCCAAAGAGGGGACAACCACCCAGCAAGATCCAGCATGAAGACACTGCTTTTTGGGCACTGCAGGCTTCCTGCAGCCATTTCCTGGCACTGCCTTCTCGGTGCCGCAGCACAGCAGGAGAGGGCCAGAAGAGGCAGAGTGTGGCCCAGCTGCCTTCACAGACCCTGACCAGCTCCACAGCAACCCGGAGCACGACTCGGGCTCCTCAGCCGGGGAATTATCTACACCACGCTCTTGCCCAGGCCACTCACTGATGTAGAAGAGCTAACCACCTTCCAAGCACCACAGAAGTGAGTGGCATTGCCCACCTCGTTGCTGCCTACGCAGACGGGTTTGCAGGGCTCAGGGTGTTTCATGGTGGCAGGAGTTGATGCTGTTGTCTCCACTCATCGGGGTGGTTCTGCTGAGGAACTTTGCTGAGGAGGAGGAGAGAGGCTTCATAGCAACTGCATGTGGGCACATCACACCGCCTGCTGCTGCTGCTGCTTGCAAGGGGGGAGTGACACGCCGGTGGAGCGGGAAGTAATGTCTTGCTCTATCTATCGCGTTGTTCTTCAGGCAGAGTGTGGGGAAGCGGATGGTGGGAGGGCTGTCCTCACTGCCCTTGCTTAACTGAGCATTAGGAGGTCTTACAGTAGAGGTTTGGGAGAGGAGACAAGGCGAAGAAAATGGGAAAGCTGACCCTATGGGTAGAGATGACTGGGTTCATGGGAGAACTCTCTCCTGCTTCCTTCCTGAGTGGAGAGAAGAGGCACTTTGCTTAGCTGTTTGTCTGTGGGAGGAACTATGTTGATAGCTGGCAAAGTTAGGCAGAAATAGACATCATTAATGAGATCACCTGCTGGAAATACTAGAGAAGTGTGCTGGTGTTTCCCAGTGCTGGGGCTTAGGAGAGTGTATGTGAGGATAGAATCCCAAACCAGAAGAGGAACTGCCGGTGTCCGGAGCAGCCCTCTGAAAAGTTTTCCCCTTGATGCCAAATCCTGGAAACTTCTGAACAGAGCCTCTTGGTTGGGCACAAAGCAGCTCAGGCACTCTGAGCTACTGGGTGCCTAATGCTTACCACTTGCACACTGGCAGCCAGAAACAGGGGCAGAAACTTCCTAGCGAGCCCTACAGTGGCCTCATTCTGCAGGGTTTTGACTTTGAAGCCTGCACCACACTCCTTCACTTCTGGCCCCATTATGTGCACCGTGAGGTTCTGCTGGTCAGTCACCCGAGGGGAACTGGGCAGCTCCCACCCGTTGCTATGAGAGTGGCAGCTTGGTGAAATGCAGGTAATGCAGGGTGGACTGATGGCCTCGTTTCTTGCAAAGACCTAAAATTCATAGAAAGCTAGCAATAGTTTGGGGAGTTTTTTGAACAGTTTTCATTAGATACAGAATCAATTTACAGCACTTCATGACAGCAAACACGATATTCGTTAGAAGCAGGCCTGTTAGAAAAGAGTTCTTGATGTTATAATCTACCTCCTTGGTCCCATGGGACCTCTCTGTCACTGGCACTTACATCTTCCTGGTTGGTCCCATGGGACCGCTCCATCCTTGGCGGCCCTCCCAGCTGTGAAGCACTTGCAAGCTGCTGTGTCTGGGTGTGCATTTCTTTGTGCATCAGTGCTGGCACATCATGGGTGAGACAGAATTCTGTAGCTGCATGATCAGAGACTAGCTACTGCTGAGAGGGACTCTGGGGTGTCTTCATTGATGATAATATGTCGTGGACATGAAGACTGCAGCATGACTGGTGTTTGCCATCCAAAAATGTAGCATTGCTGAGGCTGTAGTGGAGCATTTTGAACTTGGGGTGCCCCTTGGATGCTGCTTCTTCCCACCACTTCATTGACCCAAGACCCAAAAGTGTCATCTGTCCTGGAAGGAGGCACTCTCTGCTACAGCAGTGGCTGCAAGCAGTGTGGTTGTGCAGTGCTGCCCCACTGCCTGCTGCCTGCCTGCCACACCTGCAAGTGTGCACATGTGCAGGAGCTGCTTTCCATCCTCGGGAGCAGAGGAGCCTGGAGTGTCCTCGGGAAGGCTGTGGAGCATCCCCCTCCCACTGCACAGTGCAGTGCCCTCCTCTCCAAAGGTTTATGGTGCCCATGATACAGGCTGGCTGTAACCACTTCTAGCACCTGAGACAGGAGCTGGAGAGGCTGATATTGTCCATCTTGTGAATAGATCGTAGAAAAGATCAGGCTTAAAATGCTCTGAATACCTCCTTTTAAATGTCTTTTCTGCACTCATGTTGTAATGATGACGTAGTATAGGTTATGTGGTGGTTTGTATCATGTTCCGAAGTTCATTACTGGAGCCTAGTTATTAAGATTTGAATCTTTAAAAATAAAATCAATCTTTTAAAACAGCTTTTAATAAATGGAGGAACATCCTTTCTCTAACTGAAACTGTCCTAACTTGGGCTAATTTACTTTAATAAATGTCTGAGCTTGGGTTTTGTTTGTTTTTAAAACAGCAAACTAACCAAAACTCTTCTGTTTTAGTGGTTTCCCAGGAAAGAGTCGAGTAATGCTTCCTTCCCTTTCCTGATTTCCTCTTAAATCCTTTAAACAGCCAGCCCATTCTATTCCCATGCTGTTAGTTGAAACTGTTGGAAATCTCAATATTATTGTCTACCTTGCCTCCTTCCCCAGATGTTTTTATATTTGGGTTGATAAGAATTTGGGTTTACTTTGATTATGAATTAAGATTTGCAACATAGAATCATAGAACAGTTAGGGTTGGAAAGGACCTTAAGATCATCTAGTTCCAACCCCCCTGCCATGAACAAGGACACCACACACTAAACTATGTCGCCCAAGGCTCTGTCCAGCCTGGCCTTGAACACCGCCAGGGTTGGAGCATTCACAACTTGCTTGGGCAACCTATTCCAGTGCCTCACCAACATCACCTCTGGAAATTTAAAGGTAAAAATTTTTAGATGCTTTTCTAAACGACATGCTACCACTGAAGCAGGAATCATTTTAGGGAAGTCTGATGGTCTGTGTCAAATTAAATAACCGTAACAGTCTCTTCTGATCTTGGAATCTGTGACTCTGTACTTCCTGCAATTTCTGCAGGTCCTTTTACAATAATGGATAAAATCAAACAGAAGGAGCAATCTCTCCTTTCCCTCCTCACTACTGCTAGACACTATTTCATGCCCCGTTTTGTAAACGCAGGTACAAATGGTGCCATAGCACTATGGGGATGAGATGAAAAGGTAGATCTGATAATCTCAGAAGGAGGCAGCATTTGTTCAACTGCATGTCTCCACATGCAGAGGGGCATGGAAATATTCATTGTCCTTGCAATCAACTTTCCAATATAGTAGGTATTGTTATATCTCACTGATTAGTGAAGATGTCTATTACTTCCTGGGGTTCAGCAATCAAACTGTACTTTGTGCTTCAGTGGCAGAACATTTTGTTTGGATGTTACGTCTTAATCCAGTTGAATTAATATGAACAAGATACCAGTTTGATTTTTAAACTTTTATAGTCATAGGATGAAGTTAATATACATAAAAGAAAATTGATGTGGGTCCGGGTTGCTTAATTTTCATTCCAAATTTTAAATTGTATTATGTTTTCACAAACTATTTAAATAGATCAGGGGGTTTTAGTAAGAAAGAGCCAGATGACTGTTTATATACCTTGGGGTGGAGGCAAGAGAAAGAAATTCTTGGGTTCTTCATCTACATACTTGTCCTATTTCTGTCAATTTTGATTTTTCTTTCCACTCTTATGCTGGTGGCAGCCACATAGTGTAAAGGCAGTTATATTGTTGGACACCTCAGGTACAAGAATAGCAGAACACAGTTCAAGTAGAAGATTAATTATTTATATAGAAGGGTACCTATTTTGTTCCACAGTAATACCTAAACCAGTTTACACTGTTCAGAACACACAAGCAGCTTATTCTGTTCATTAAATTTGTGTTCTGGATTTCTAATCCACAATAAAATATCCAATGTCTTTCATATTTCAGTTGTGGATTGCTGGAGTTAATCCCTCTTTTATATGAGAAATTTATTCTTCTTTTGAGGTATTTCAGATTTTAAATATTGGTTCCACCTTGATCAGAACTGTGCTGATACATCACCATTGTTGTGGCGTGTGTCATTTAGTCCAAAGCATTTTAAAGAAATTCATTCCCTAAGAAAGATGAAAAGAAACAACACTGGAAACAACATGTAAAATTTCAGTTCTTACAGTAGGATGCAAATCATGTTTCTTACAGAATGTATCTTATGAAATAGCCCTCCATCTATTCTCCCTACTCTGCTCTTTGTATTGCTATTAAACTTGTGTACCACAGTAGTCCCCTTGACATCTATAGATCTTGATTTAGCAGAGTGCAGAAATAAGTTCAGGACAATCATTTCTGGTTTTCTGGTGTCTGTCAAGGAGGGCTGTGCATGTTTGCACAGCATGTAACAGTGTGCATTTGTTTCTCTCTCTAACAGCTTTGCATAGCTAACAACGTGCCAGCAGAGCATTGGTCCCTTCCTTTACTCATGTTAATGACTGACTTTTAAATCCTCTCATTAAAATCGTAATATCATCTAATTGCGAATAGATTACACAAACCCCATCGGCATAACTCCACATTTGACCTCCTAATGTGCTTTACTCATAAGAGAAAGAGCAGGCATCTGTGCAAACTGCCTGTGACACTGCGTTTCTTTTTCAGGGTTTATGACAGGCCTCAATTAGCACGGTCTTCCCAGCCCAAGACTGATAAAGATCTTGCCTACTGGAGAAGACGAGGACAGGACTTCAGTGTGCTCGTGGGCTATTCCCAGAAAGCTGGTGTGGAAATGAAAGGCCTGGCTGCAGCCCCAGGGGCAACCCGGCACCCCAAGGAGAGTCAGCTGAAGGTGGGCACGGGTGCAAGGTACAGCAGAAGAAGCGGCTTGCAGGAGAGCTGTGAAGTGCCCAGTGACTGCAAGTGGCAAAGTATGGGAATGGAAAGCTGGAACCAGCCAAAAAAGGTAGGGAGGCAAATGTCTGAGGGTGACAGGGAGAAGCTGCTTCAAGAGCTATATTCACTGACTCTGGGAGACAACGTACTGAGCACCCACAGCAAGGGGAAATCACAATCACTGCCGAGGGTCCTTTCACCCGAGAGCATGAGGTGCGTGGAAATGCCCTCCCTGACCAACAGTAACAACTCACTCAGCGTAACTAAAGCCCCCTCCTATCCCCCAAACAGACTGAACGTAGAACCAGCCAAGCACCATGAAACAGGAGGCCATCTCCTTCCCCTGGTGAAACCCAAGTATGGGAGACCTCTCAAGCCTCCCTCCTACGAACTGCAGCGGCAGACCAGGGCACCTGCAGATACTGTGGCTTTCCAGGACCACTACCAGAAAGATGAACCCATCTCCTACTTAGCCAAAGTTAATGAGCCAAGGCAGGAGGCTTGCATTCAAGACTCTGGTTTGGAGCCCCCGGTCTACGTACCTCCTCCTTCTTACAAATCCCCACCTCACCAAAACGTGACCCCGCATCCTCTCAGTGAAGTGCCTAACACAGACACGTATGCCAGCAGCAATCAGCAGGGTCCTGCAGAGCGGGTTGTCCCCTGCCAGCGTCCAGCCGTGAATACTTTAGAAGCAGGGGGTGACCCTTGCAAGGACAAACATCTTCCTCATGGGAAGCAAAGCCATGCAAGGCACCCTGCTGACTACCTGCGTTCTGTTCAGTATATTCCCTTTGATGATCCTCGGATACGACATATTAAAATTGCACCACCGGAAGGTCTTCAGGACAACACTAAATACACTGAAAATGCACGTAGTCCTAGTTCTGGTGCTTTGCAAGAGAGATCTCTTGAAGTACAGTACAACAGTGCCTTTCTGGATGCATCAAACTTGTCCAATTCTGCAAAGGGCGAAAGAACTTCCGTCAGCTCCACCCATAGCAACAGATGGTTGGCACCATCCATCCGAGATCAGGAAAACTGTGCCTTGCTGGACCAAAGAGACAGTTGTAGCACAACTAATCACAGCCCCCGTAATGAAGCCAGTGTGGAGTACACAAAAGGCAAACTTTCTGTAAGAAATTCACATATGGACAGCACCTGTGAGACTGTTACAAAAGTGAAAAAGTTTGAACCTGGAACTGGGATGCAGAGCAAAAAGAGTTCAAAGAGAAGAATGAATGAAACTATATTTTGTTTGGTCTCTATCCCAGTTAAATCAGAATCCAATCTGCCAGATACAGATAGGAACAACAACATAACCCAGACCCCTGATAAGAATGGGTTTGATAACAATGGGGCTTTGCAAGAACAAAGTCTCTTAAGTATGTCTTCAACAGACTTGGAGTTACAAGCGCTTACAGGAAGCATGACCAATAAAAATGAGTTACAAAAACAAGAGCTGTGGAGACCAGAAGAGTTCAAACAAATGAATGACCTCAGATTTATTCAGCCTGCAAAACACAGAGAGCTCAAATACTCTGGCTCCTGGCCAGGTGATCAGTACAAAGACCAGCAGACACAGACCAGTTTCACAGAAGAACCTGAAAGCCCTCAATTTTTCCATGGTACAAAGCCTGAGCAGCCCAATAGTAACAAACCGCTGTCTCCAAAGCTCCTAGGGTGTACAGCATCCACGATAGGGTCAAACCAGACAGGGTTACCTTCTGACGAGAGAAGCTGCAGGCAGAGCACTTACGGTATGAAGGGTCAGATATACCTCAGCCAGTCTAGCAACAGTGCATTTTCCAGGACTGCCACCTCGGTCCTTCAGGCCACCTCCCCAAAAGCCCACCGGAGTCAGCCCATGTCTGCCCACGAGAGGGAAACTGGCCTTCTTCCCAAGGGAGATGTAATTAAGGGAGAACCAGGTGCTCCCTGCAACAGTAAAGAGCTGTTTGGGCAGTTCCTGTTGAAGCCTGTAAGTCGCAGACCCTGGGATGCAATAAGTGAGCTAGAAAGTTTTAACAAGGAGCTGCAAGAGCAGGAGGAGAGCACAAGCAGTGAAGAAGATTTGGAAAGTGCTGCGGCTTCCCCGCAGTCAGGTGCCCTTATGCAAAGGAAGGGGTCCAGAAATGAGAAGTTGAACCAGGAGCTAAAACACTGTGGGATTTCGGAAGTGGTTGTGCCAGAAGGGCCTGTATTTAAGTCAGGAAGAGTTAAAAGTAAGTCTGAAAGTTGGAGTGTGGGGACGGAGCATGGTGGCCAGCCAGGCAGCATTGGTTCTCAAGGCTCTTTGCAGCCAGGAGGGAGCAGTGAAGGAGTCAGACCAGCAGATGGAAGTCTGATAACAGAAATGAGGATGGGGGAAGCCAAGAGCAGAAAAAGCAAGCAGCCAGTTCACAAGGACCCTCTCCAGAGAGTTTTGTCCAGTAGCCCAAGCAGTTCATGTCACAGTAATCCTTTCAATAACCCTGTCTTGCAGGCTATGAGTGAAGACCAAAATTACCTAGACTTTGTTAAGCTGAGCAAAGGTGCAGCTCCCACAAATGATACAGTAGTAGAGAGAGGCTCGATAGTACACTTGTCACTAACAAAGAGGAACCATGGGCGCTCAGAGCCAGATTTGAGGTCAGTGGGACTTGATGTAGCCCCAGGACCCGGTGCTGACAATTCTGATCACTCTTCAAATGCAAATGCAGTGGAAATCCCTGTGAATGAGTCATTGCAGGCAAGAGCTGCAAGAATTTTAGGTATAGATATAGCAGTGGAGTCTCTCCTTCCGGATGACCTCCTTGGGCCCCACCCAAGCACTAGCCCTGCAAATGGTGCCCAGGACTTTGAGTCATCAGTAGGGAGCACAGTAAGTGACAAAGAAAGAAAAAAAGAGAGTTCTTACGAAGGCAGACGTAAGTGTGGCTGGACAGAGAGTGCTCTCTTTGTCAGAGCAGGAGGCCGATCTTTATACCCTGATGAATGCCAGACTGCTCACCAGGAAACCAGTGCTAAACCACAGGTAACGGAACAAGTTCTTGAACAGCCTGTGAGTCCCAGCCACGGTGAGGACCAAAACTTGGTTTGCAAGTCAAATGTGTATCAGCATTCAGAAAAGAGAGTGAGAAGCACCTCAAAAGTGATAGAGACACTCCAAGGCAAGCTCACTTCCCCACCGAGCCGGACTGCCATGGATCGCTTAGTGCGAATGAAAGAAGTTGACTCTGTGTCCCGGATGAGACGTCTGAGCATTAAGAGCGCAGACTCAGGAGAGGAGGTGGATGAGGAGAAGCTGTCAAGGGTACAAGAGGAAAGAGGAAGCAAACTGGCAAGCTCAGGGGCTGTTTCCAAGCGTGTTATCTCTCTCAGTGAAAATGGATATTTAGGTGGAATGGACAAGAAGAAGAATGACAGAGACTTTTCTTTAGGTAAGACCCTATTACAGGAGATCCGGATGGGTGCTGTTTTCTTATGTAATGGGCATGATCGATTTGCTTATGCCCACATAATGCTGCTCAAATAGTTACAGGCTGTAGGTGGTACTACCCCCATCTGGTTCCCACCCCTTTGCTCTCCTTGTGGAAAAGATGAGTGTTCTCTGATCCCATTTTAGGAAAAGGTACTGTAAAGCTCACTTGTAATACTGAAACTCATTCACAGAGACTGGAGCGCCCTCTGAGGTCTTATCTCTGTCTAATTGTTCCAGGGAACAGCCAGCTTCAAACAGCAGAGTTCAAAGATAGTCACTCTAGAGCCAGTGTTTGGGAACGTGGTGATTTAATCATAGCCTTTCCGTGAATACCCATTTTTTCCCTCTCTTATTCTTGAGTAGACACATACTATATCAGAGTTCAGAAGAAACTAAAAATAAAAATCTGAGGTTCTTCTGTGAAGCCCCTGGGAAATGTCTGCATTGAGAGGCCTGGAAAATTCTCTCTCATGAATATTTTCCAGATCAGCTGTTGAGAATAACTGTTATCCCCAGGTCAAATGGAAAGTTGACTTTCTCAGTGAACACCTTTTTATTTTATTTCCCCCATCCCCCCTTTTTCTTTTCCTTTTTTGTGTTCCTCATCTCTCAAAAGCATATAAACTTGTGTAGCGCATATGCATCCCCAAAGTAACATGAGCCGTTCTCTCTTCAGAATGGTTTTCATATGGCCTTGTGTTGAACAACTGAAAATCAGTTGTTGCCATACATCTGTGTAAAGGGATAAATCTCCCAAGCCACCTGTCTAGTCCATTAAATTAATTGGAGTGAGCAAATGTATGGTGTGAAAGTTGTTAAATTAATATTAATCTCATCCTTCCTTTTTCCATCCTCCCTGTAACAGCTAACCCTTTACCTTGAAATCTGCACAGGTTATTCATTAAACTTCACCGATATAAATCTGTTCACAGTTTTCCAGTACAGAGAGACAGAAACTAAATGGAGCATACTTTAAAGTGGATTTATGTATTTCCATCTGAAGAGAAATGTATGTCTTAGTTCTAAGCATTGACTCCTGCAGTCTTGCAGCCTTTCCCTTCCTGTCTTCTTTCTGTATTTCACAGCTCTGTGTCTCTTTCAGCTTTGAACTGTATTTCTCAAAACCAGATTTTCCAAACAGGCTAATTCAGCGTTCTTGTACCCATCAGGTCTGGTATGCCCCACATGCATTTCATATGCTTTCCTCCCTTGGGGTTTCTGCTGGAGTGAAGAAAATAACTGCTGTGGTGACATGACTTCAGGGATGTATCAAAACAGATTGTGCGTGTTTATTGGAGATTTATTCTGCAGTAAATTAGGTCTAAATTTATCCCTCTTGCTGACAACGCCAGGCTTGTATTCTGCAGTGTGTTCCCTGTTGCAGCATCTCCCTCATAGATGTAACAGCCTTCCCCACTCCTGGATAAGCATGGGTGTCCCTGTTGCACACATCCAGTACTGCAGGGTAGCACACACTCACATGGGAGGGGCAGGCATCTCCTCCACTGGTCTCTTCCCATCCAAAGAGACCCTGAACTGTTGATGGCCACAAGATCTCCACCTTACCTTAATGAGGCAGGACTGAAGATTCATGTTTGTAGAAAGGTCTAGTATTGTGTCTTCCACTGTTAACTCTCACTCCAAGTTCCCGATCAACTCACTGGTACCCTTGACAGACAAAATGAGAGTTAAGCATAGAATGACAGAATGGTTTGGATTGGAGGAACCTTCAAGGTCATAGAATAGTTAGGGTTGGAAAGATCAACTAGTTCCCTGCCACAGGCAGGGACATTTTCATTAGACGAGGTTGCTCAAAGCCCCTGTGTCCAACCTGGCCTTGAACACTGCCAGGGATTGGGCAGCCACAGCTTCTCTGGGCAACCTGTGCCAGTGTCTTACCTCATAGTGAAGAGCTTCTTCCTAATATCTAATCTAAATCTACTGTTTATCAGGTTAAAGCCATTCCCGCTTGTCTTATCACTACATGCCCTGGAAAAAAGCCCCTTTCCAATCTTTCAACAAGATTTCTTGTTGAAAACCTTTGTATTTGTAGCTTTTAAAGAGTAGATATTGCTAAAGGACATTCTATTTGGAGTGAGGTAGGGTGATGTTAGTCTTATGATTGCAGGATGGGCCCATCATAGAGGCCAGAGCCCTTAGCAGAAACAGGCTTTCACATGTATAATGCAGCTTGGCATATGAACAGTCATCTCGGAGTAAAAGTTCTGACGAAACTCAGTGCAAGAAGCTCGTTTTGCTATGCAAATACTGCCATTAGAGGAACACAACCAAATGTTCCCAAATGCAGTAGATGTATTTTCTCCTGTGCTGTTTGAAGACTGCTTCCATGAGGCTGCTGATCTGGCTTTGTAGCTGTAGAAAGCATTTCAAATGAGCTTAACCAAATGCTGAATAAACATTTCTGTTCAGTGCTAGAACTCCAATGTTTGTCTCCCCTGAAGTGTGGCATATCCTGGTCCTTTTCTGTCTTTGGTTTAGGTGCTGAGGGTGTGTGGGTCAGCTTCCAAGGAATAAACTGGAGCTACACAGAGACTCAATGTCTTGTGGCCTTATTGTGTCCCTCCACCTCACTCCCCAAAACAGTGAGCACCTGCAATTTTGTGGGGAGTTCTATTACTGTGAATTTGTCTGGCCTTAGGAAGATCAGGTTTCTGGAATGTAATTCCATTTTTATTCTTAGGTCAGCCTCGCTCAGAACAGTTCAGCATTTTTGGGCGTTCTAGCAGTTTAGATGGCAAAATATTTACAGTGAAAAAGATGTTACTGCTTTAGAGGCATCTTCCCACACCATCAGTTCATTAAGCTTAGAAAGATGCAGCGTTATCCTGGAGTGCACTAGCCCTTGAAAACATTTTTCTCCTTAATTTTTTTTTTTTTTTGCATTCATGTGGCATCTGTTTCTGAAGTTTGGAAATACCAGAGGAGGCTTAATAGTGATAAGCAGTTCTGAAAACATGGTGTTGCTGGCAGAGACTCCTTTCTTGACTGGCCTAGCGATTTGAAGAGAGTAGGCAAGAGAAGTGATAAAGGATCCTGCAATACGAATCCACCCACTGGGGCCAAATCCAGAAGTTCTTTCTTAGCCAGCCCCACCTTGATATGAGTCTGGATGCTGCAGTTGGACGCTTGCACATCAGAGTGGAAATTTCCCTCTGAGGACCTTTATGCTTGTTTGAATGAAGACACTCACATCAACATAAAGTCCTGAGGGTGAATGTTTTACTCTGAAGTGTGATATTTATTTGTGCAACTGTTTTCATGCTCAATGGTTCAAACACGAGTGCTGTGGGAGACCAGACTACGGGAGGGATGTTTAAGGTTAGCATAGATGCCTGGGTTGCATAAGAACAGCAAGTAGCACATGGTAGCACAGGCTGCAGTGCTGGTTTGTCCAGGCCCCTGTGTTCCTCCATGCCATGACCACGCATCCCCAGGAGCCCAGGGTAAGTCAGATGCATGCATGATGCCAGAGGGCAGGCAGATCTCACAAGGCAAAGCCCTTTCAGTGCAATCGTAACCCAAAGTCTCGAAGGTGAAGGAAAAGGCTCATGTCTGCTCATTTCATGGCCAATGTTGGGATAAATCCAATAAAAAAATGTAATAGAGGAGTGTGCTTGGGGATTCAGGAAAAGAAAAACAACATATGGTCTGTCCTGTGAACTGATAAGAGGTGGGCTCAAAATGAAGAGCAGTACTAGTAAGCCAGTCCAGTGCTTTAGTGAATAACGTTCAAAACGTGAGCTGCAGTTCTGCTGACCGAAGTGAGACAGTCTAGCCATAGTGATGCAGCACAGCTGTGCTTTTCTGTATTCTGCTGAATTAATCTGAAACCAAGAATTTGCAATTGAATGAAAAGACCCTGATGATTGGATGGCATCATCACTTCTTCATCCAGCCTTAAACACCCTGCTAGGATGTTTAAAGCATTTACTTGTCCTTAGTGTTCAGTACAAGGGGCGGCAAATCTTAAGTCGTTTTCTTCCTGTCAAAGCATCTGAAAACTAGAAGTAGTCACTTAGCATTCAGTGTGCGTATCCTACCCACCCAAGGCTTTTCAAGTTCCGTCTCCGTGCATTCGATCCATGTTGTTCCCAAATTACACTTGCGTACGTACAGAATTTGGGTCAGGAATGTAGCATGTATCATTAAGGCTGTAAGTCCAGTATTAGCTTCTTTTTTTAAAATAAAAACTAGGGAAAAGAGGTCTCATTTCCACAGCTAGCAACATTGAATAGATTGCATGATACACTGTTAATAGTATTTTCTTGGGTTTTTTTCCAGATGCATATGACCCCACCAAAGTTGAAAAGGTGTGAGATGAACGAAGAGAATAGAGAGACTTCTGTTCAACTAAGAATGTTTCACTGATTTTTCTTTTTCTTTTCTTTTCTTTTCCTGGGTGCTCTTTGTTTGTTTTTTTGTTCTTTGATGCTTGGAAATTGCCTCCATTTGTGGTGTTCATGGTGTACTGATAATGCCTTTACCACTGCCACTAGGAATTAGCTATTTGTATCTGAAACTGTTGTGGAGACCACAGAAAAATCTGACTTCTACATCGGAACCATCTGGCTTTGTAGCGTTAAGACTTAATACCTACCGTTGGCAAAGAGTTTTTATCTGAACTCTATTTCAGTCTTCAGTGGGGACGATGAAATGCATGAAGTGAGGCTTTTGAGCTTTCTCTTTGGTGTAAATGTAAACGTGGGAGATTAGTGAAATGATTTTTAAAAGAATGTGAATTTATAAGCTAAACTTCTAAGCATCTACAGTCTAAACTTTGTTTAACTTAAGGGATTTTTGGCCATAAGTAGAAAGTGCTGCTGCACTAAGTCATAGAAGGAATGTGAGAGAATGGTAGCGAAGACCAATTGCGAAATTATTTCTGACTTCCAGAGTTTGAATTTACTCAGATTAAATACTTACTTGCCACCTAGAGAAAAGAAAAGCAAAAACCCCAAAGCTTCTAAAAGATGGAAGACTTTCGTAGTACAGTGTACAGAACGTGTAATTATAGTAGCTGGCAACTAGTGTTTCAAACCAATGCAAAGTATACCACTGGCTGTTTTGCACTCAGTATTACCTATTTTTGTTTTGCTGTTTAGAAATTCTTTATATGAAAGAATAGTAGCTGGTTTAAAATAGCCCATTTTAACAAAGTAACTATATTTCTTGTTACAGAATACTATCTATTTTTCTACGATGTAAACAATTGCTAACAAGTGGCAAGTATAAAGAAGTATTATTATTATTATTATATTTTAAGAAGACTTATCCCTCTGAGTGAAGGTGCCCCAAGCAGATTTCATTTGTATATCTCAATGCACACTCCATATCGCCACATACTCAGTAGTGCTACCTTATTTTGTTCTGAAAAGAGCCATCTATGTATGTATGTACTACAGTATTTTTCCCCACTCAACCTTTGGATCGTTCTTGGAGCCACTTTCTGAAACACAGCTGGGAACTGCCTGGGCTGGTGTTGCGCTGCCATTACATTCCAGTGGCAGCCCTGATCAAAATGTGGGTTTGGATCTCAGTCCCAGTGTCTCTGAGTGGCTCAGACAAAATACCTAGTTTCTTTCTTTTACTTTATTCTCTTTTACAGATTATGGGTTTGAATTTGGCCAGTGTATAAAAAATAAACAAAACTGGGTTTAATTCTTCCCTGAAGTCAATTGATGTTGCTGGGGAGGAGTTCAGGTGTCTTCTTGATGGCATTTAAGTACATGGCTTTAAGTGTATTTTATCTGCACATACAAATGCATGAATTACAGAATCTACAATAAAGCCTATGCATTCTGCTCTTTGAAACTAAATTAGCCTGCATAGTATGTGTGTTTTTAAAGCCTTTATGTCCACTCCTGTGTGTTTTTTTGTAAGTACCTGTGTCCTAACATTCTTCTGATGACTTGTTCATGTACTTCACTGGTCTATTTTACTGGCCTTTTCTGTTTTTTTAGCATAATTTTATTTTTAAAAATCTAGTTTCTTGAAGTATTCTTTCCTAAGTCTGTAATTTTGAAAGAACGATGGGGAAAAACACTCATCCTGTGTTTTGGCAGCAAGAACTTCTTGTCTGTAACACATGATTCTGTTACATATGGACTATTTAAAGCTTGTTTGAAAAGCAAATGTGGTCTATAATTTATTTTATTAACTCTCGTGTGTGCTGTTGTTGTTGACAAACTGTTCCCTCCACTCTTACTATATCCACCTTACTTCATCACCATCTGCTACATCTAGGGGCTAGTAAATAGCTACAAAACACATTTTGTCCACCCTAGCCTCCCCGCTAATTCTGCCCATAGAAAAAACTAATTCTGAAAAGGAGCTGCTTCAACTCTCATCATCCCATTTACTAGTAAAGCTGTGATGCCTAGCAATAATTTGAAAGTTTTAATTTATCCTTGATTTCTGGAGAACTGTAAATTGTCTCATACAACCAGTCATCCTACCTTCAGTTCACTTCTCTGTGGAACAAGAGTTTTCTGTGCATTTTATGTTCTTCTGATGGGGAGGGGTTAACTGACTTTGCAACATGTCTGTCTCATCCCTCATGTCAAGTAATTGCTTTTCCAATGTACGTAAACAGCCAAGATCTTTTAAAGAAAAAAAAAAAAAGGAAGAAAGGAGAAATAGGAAGCAGCAATATTTCAGGGAAGATTTTGTTGACCAAGAATGAGAAATTAAAACCTAGGAAGTTAGTAAGCTGCAGTAGTATGTGACTGATCAGTGGATGAAAGGCTAGTCTCAGTACTGCTTTAGAAATGGTGTATTCCTCTAACAACACTGGTTGTTTCATTTGATACTATGATACAGGCAGCTGAGGAATACATGGAGTACAGTTTTATGAATAACTGTGCCTCAGTGTTTCTGCAGTACCTGTGCCATAATTAAAATGACAGCTATCAGAATGGGCTGGATGGTACCACAGCTGAATGCCTTTCCAGAAACCTTTTGCCAGTTGCAAACAGCATCCAACAAAAAGCTCCTTTTACACCAGATAGAGTTAAAAACCATCTGGGGCTGGTAATGGCAAGGGCAGGAGCTCAGGGCCAGGTAATGCAAAAGAGGATGTGGCTGGCTGTTTCCAGTGCCTCCTGCAACAGAGTCTTGTGACTGTGGAGCAGCAGTGAAGAACTGTGCGTTTACCTGTATTCTCAGGAGGAAAAGCAGAGCTAAATCACATTGTTACAAGCTTTTTTGTATCCAGCTTGTGCTGTCGTTGTACTGCTGTAGTAGGGGAAGCTGGGGCTAGGTGACAGGTTATCAAAGGGCTTGAATGCAAAGGCACTGGTTTCAAGAGTGTTCATGGAAATACATGCAAGAAACCAGGGCCTGGTTTACACATTTCAAAGATGTTTAATGGGGAGACTCCTCAGGGGAGGGATAGCTAAATAGGACCTGCTTCTCCTTCCATGTTGAAATCCAGAACGGACAAGCAGCCTAAGTGCTTAGTGACAGCCACAACGACTGGTGGCAGTGCTAAGGTGCTAGGAAGGCAAACAATGAAGACAAACTTTCAGGCCCTTTCGTCTGAGAAAGAAGTCACCTATGAGCTTCAGGGCTGCTGACCCATCCAAGGCCTGCTCTCCCCAGCCGTGAACTGACTGGGGTGCAGCAGGTGGAGGTGCCCAGGCTGCCAGGGTGGTTGGTTCGGAAGGGGGAAGTGCTCCCTCCTGCAGTTCCTTGAGCATGAACTAGAAGTGTGCTTCCAAGAAGAATCACTGTTTTCAGACCCCGCTCCAGCTTCCTTACCAGAGGCGTTCTGAACTTGGGCAGAAGAGTGGTCTGAGAAGAGCTCAAAAGTTTATACTTCAAATCTTGCTGCCATCACAGCTGAACAAGGTGGGGTGAGGAAGACGAAGGAAGGAAACCCAGTGACTCAAGATCATTGGTAACTGAAATGCCCAGTGCTATGCCTGGCTAAGCATCACTTGTGAGCTACTGACTCCCTAGGCATAAGGACTGTTGTATTTCGTATCGCACATTTGACAGCAGGTTAATCTTTACTGCAAACCACTGTATTGTGTATCAACGCCATCAGGTTCCCTAGATTTGGCCTTTGATGTTGGGAGCAAATAGTCTGTGTACTGAAACATGTGATAACTCTTGAAAAACGTGAAGGACACCATATGCTGAAAGTGGTAGAGAATGACCGAATTAATCTGCCACCCTTAGAAAATAACCAGTCCCATCAAGCTTTTTTAAATATTGGAATTTAGTAAAATATATTTGTTTAATATCATAAATCAATATTATTATCTAGGGCTGATATTCTGTTGCCTTTGCCCCATGGACAGCCCGCTGAATGTTAGTTTATAGCATCTGACCTTCTCATTGGGTTAAAATACTGATGTTTTCTTCACTGCCCCTTTTCAAAGACAAAAATAGAGGAGTGATTGGGAGAAAAGTAGAATAGAAATGTTCTTGCATTTTAAATGGCAAAAGTTCTTGCAATTGCAAAGTGAGCTCTTCTGTCCAGGGTCAAGATCTGATAGAGGCAAGTACATGTGAAAAGTGAATCTTTACTTGGCAGGATCCATCAGCTCAAAGAAGAGAGACAAACCAGTGTCAAATGGAATGGAAAGGATTGACAGCTTGTCAGCCTTTTGAATGTTTTCTGTAAAGCTGTCCTTTTGAAGGACACTGGTATTTTCTTTGTTGAGGATCAAACGATTCCCTAATTTCTCTCAACTGGTGATAAACCGTGATTGCTGCACTCCTAATCTACTGGAGTGAGATTTAATTGCAAGTGGAGTCTACAAACTTTAAACCTCTATTCTTCTGCATCATCACAGTAAAGTATGAAGCTGAAGATTTCATGAGATGATGACTGTATCACTGAATTCATTAGAAAAGTTGGGGAATTGTGATTTAATTCTTATTCAGACTTGCATGAAAATGTTTGCTGCACCTCCCCTGGGGGACTAAATGAAAGCTGTTTACTATTAACTCTATTTTTAAAGAAAAAATATTTTGAATAAAGAAAAAGGGAAATCCTGATATCTACAGCAAAGCCCAAAACCACAATGCTACCTCCCACCCATGCTGAGAAATATGTTTGCAATATGGCTTGCAGAGCTGCACAGCAGGGAGAGGGTGAAGGGAACATAAGTCACAATTGACCGACACATGGCTGAGATTAGAAATAACAATGTTATTTCCCAGCCAAGAGAGACCACAATAACATGCAGATTATAAAATGAAGGAGGAACTTTCCACCCTCAACAGCAGTAATCTCTGCCTTCTTTCAAGCTCTGGATCATCACAGTAAATAATCAGAACCATTCTAAAAGCCATTCCTAACCTGGAAGGAAAACAAGGAGGTACCTGTGCTAGACAGTACATCAGTCTCCTTGTGCCTTTGTCCTTATACAATGCAGTTATTTCTCCACACTGACTTTCAAGGTACTGTGGCCTATCTCCAAAATTAATATTATGTCATTGTCACGGTTTTCTGCTCAAACTGGCCCAAGGGCTGATTTAAAAGGATAAAAAGAGAGGAAGTAGGAGTAAGCAACTACCATAGTATTTACATGATATCAGAAAACGAACGAGTTTTAAGAAATCTTTTGTAATTTTTTCTGCACAAGGCAAATACTCTGTTTCTGGGCCTATGTGTAAACCAGAGGGGCGCTATCAAGAGCAGACATTCTCCAAATAAAGGTTTTGCATGGATATGCTCCCCTGTGATGTTGTTGATGTCGTTATCATAG